GTTGAAAACCTCTTTTCTGTGTGGACTTAGGTTCAAAAATGTAGGTTAGTAAAAGATGAAATAACACTTTGAAAAAGGCAGTTCTATCAATTATTATGAACATTCTTGCAAACAACAATAGAGATGTCAATGTGTGGATTATCATATAGACAGACATGAAAGGGAAAAGCTCTCCTTCCAGTTATGATCCAGGACTTTGTACCATCAGCCTCCTCTCCTCCCTCTCCTGCTGCAGAGCTCCTATTAGATTAGCTAGCTGGCAGCTGCACTCCAACATTTCTCCCAACCCCACCTCCTGTTCTCTTTACTGGGGCTTTAGTGAATGACTGTGCAAATGAGGGGCTGTCTTTGGAAGAGGGTTGGTGGGCTGGTCGGCTCTGATCAGGTCGAAGATCAGTGCAGTGAGACGGAGACGGGCAGGACACCTTTCCCTCTTGAGAGGCGGTTTTTCTCTGTTGGGTTTTTTTTTCCTGATGGTTTAAAGCAGAAAAGGAGAAGGCCATGGAGGTAAAGTGTTTTTCCTTTTCCTCCAATCATCCTTTCAGCATCAAACTGATGGATTGAACAACCTCCCATCTGCGCTATAGAACAGGCAGCCAGGGCTGAGTGGGATGTGGGAGGTGCGGCTGTGCCAGATGGGCTCTCTGTACTCTGTGCACTGGTTTAGGTAGCTGTAGCAGTGGGGTTAAGATGAAACAATGCCTGCTACTATTTTTAGCTTCCTGGACAGCTGAAACGCCACGGACAGCAGAACTTGTCCTCTCACACAGGATTCCTGTGTATCTATTTGGATCTTTTTTATTCTTTGCAGCTTTTGTTGATTTATACTTTGTGTTTAAAAACACCAATTAAATCAGTATTTAATTCAGGCCTTATAAGGAGAATGCATTATCTGGTGGATTTTTCAAATTCAAATGATAACTTTTAGAGCACTCTTTCACTTATTTTTGCTTTAAATGCATTTTCTCTTAAAGTTCTGCAAGAAGAATTAAATGAAGTAGAGGAGAAAGCATGTTAGGCCTCTGTGTCTTCCCTCAGCATGCTGTATGGGTTTGGAGTGAAATAATTAGCATTTAGCTTGCAGCAATGTTTGACCGTCTAATCTTCTGTGATGAATTTATCCGGACTTGTTTGGGTTTTCAACTCTTTCACTGTTTTAAGTGTCTGCATTTCTGTGTTATCTCCTGGTAGATTGATAAACAGAAGCTCAGCAAAGACTCTGTGTTCTTCCGAGACGGAGTGCGGAGAATAGATTTCATCCTATCATACGTCGACGATAAAGATTGTGAAAAAAAACAGGTAAGAACTGAAGTTAAACTGACTGCACAGACAAGTTATCTGTATTTGTTTTATTTGTCTTTTAACTCCACTTGGCACATAGTTGAGCTCCTGAAAGCTGAGATTTTCACAAAGGTTAACTACTGATGTAGTTTCATGTTCTTGGATGAACTGCTCCATGCAGGATATCCTTAAAGTTGTGTGCCTGCATTCTTTGATTCTGTCTATCATCTTGTTTTTTGGTTATTTTTGAGGGTTAGGGTCGTTTAATCAGTCGTTTTTTCAGTCCAAAGTGCGAAAAGGATTCTGTCTGTTTCATAGGGAGCTGCCAGCCTTCTCAGCAGTGTGTCACCAGTTAACACTTTGCCCACACTCCCAGTCTCTGAGCCAAACTGCTGGCCTACATCATTTTTTCCATGGAAGGAGGAAGGGCCAACAGGAGGTCACTTCCTGTGGAACAGCCTGAAGTGTTGTTATAATATGGCACTAAATCTCCTCCCTAACAAGAGGCTTGTATGTCCCTATTAGGCCAATGCATTTTAAAAACAAAGGGCAACGGTAGTTTACTGAAAAGCAGGTTTTATAACTGAGCATAAAAAGCTAACAGGTCACTAATTAAAAATCAGTCAGATCTGATAAAAAGAAAATCATCAACCAGTAAAGGTCCGGAGAGATTTTTAATTATAATCTGTTGCTTTAAACAGAATTTAACACTGAAATAAAATGAGGTGTTTATGCATCCATGGTATACATTACATGTTTAATTAAAAAATACAAAATGAAAAATCTAATTTTTTTGCATTTTAAAATCTAAAGTTCTTTTTGAAACAATCTTTCACAGTTCGGCTCATAGACGATTTTCTGACTTTCATATCTTTTCTCAAACCCCTGAACTGATCGTTCTTTTCTTTCTTTTTTCTGTCTTAATGTTGGCAGTGGGCTTTAGGCTGCCCTGCAAGGCTTTAAACCTGGGTTTAACCAGAGACTAAGCCATTCTCAAGCACATATCAAGGAGCTCATTTTGAGCCTGGATCCAGATTTATTGTTGATTCTGTTCATGGTGGAGAATCCTGCTTCACAGCAGCAGGTTGAGCCAAACATCCTCTAAATGTGCAAGGTCATCTTTGAGCACGCCATTTCACTTTTCTTTCACCAGTTCACCGCAGTTCTTCCAGCAGTCCACACTTTCTCTCCTCTCTTTTTCTCATGGTCTTCTCCTTCTTTCCCATCGCCCGGCTTGCCACAGGTTTGCCTGCTGTGTCTAAAAGTAGCAGCAGCAGCAACCCAGACTGACAGCTCATTGGCTCATTTGGATCACGTGCAGCCTGGAGCCGGACGCTCCCCAGGGCTTTATACAGGTTTCCGCGGGTCATTAAAAATCAAATAAATGTCATGAAATTAATACTTTTTTAATTAGCATTCAAATTCATTAAATGAGATTATCAGTGGCATTTGCATATTATATCAGATATACGTAGTTCCGCATGTTTTCATGGAACTACTTCCAGTTGATTGTAAATATAAATGTATAAATCATCAATTAGCCTCTGAGCCAATGAGCAAACACATTGTACCATTAGAACACTGGAGTGATAGTAGCTGGAAATGGGCCTCTATACACCTATAGATAGATAGATATTGCACCGAAAACCAGACATTTGCAGCTAGAATAATCATTTACCACATTAGCCATCTAAAAAGTGTATTTCTTTAAAGTTAAAAATAGTTTAAAGTTATATTTATTGAAAAGTACAGAGCTTTTCCTTCAAAAATAAGGACATTTCAATGTGACCCATAACCTTTGAAAAGTGTATGTATATATATATATATATATATATATATATATATATATATATATATATATATATTTTTTTTTTTTTTTTTTTTTTTTGATTGAAACAACTTTTTGGGAATTGAATGTATGGCGTACCCATGTATGGCCCAAACACAAAATAGATCCCTTCAACCAAAAAGAACATTTTCAACAATAGAAAAAAGTTTTCAAATGCTATTTTTTGAGTCTCAAATATTTTATTTGCATTCAAAAACTATTTTCTATGATTGAAAACGTTTATTTTTTCATTAAATTTACTTTTTTTATTGATTCTGTTGTTTTTTTGTTTGAAGCAACTTCTTTTTTGATTGAATAATAAAGACAACAATGTCCTTTCCATTATACGGTCCAATCAAAAACAACGTTACTTCAATTAAAAAAGTTGCTTTAAACAAAAAAGAATGGACTTTTATCAAATAAAACCTTTTCAATCAAAGGAAAGCAGAGTTCAAATGTATTTTTTGAGTCTCAAATACATTTTTCCATTCAAATACTTTTTTTCTTTGATTGAAAGTTTTTTTTTCATTGAAGTGAAGATTTTCTTAATTGAAAATATATTTTTTGATTGAATAATAAAGAAACAAATCAACCTTCATACATATCAACCAGCATTTAAAATCACTGATTGAAGCATGCTGATTAAAAGCACTAAACTTTAAAGTGGTTTAGTTGTTCTCATATCCTTTGTTGTTGACTATTGTTCCTTATTTTTTAATACCACTTTGTCAAACTCTTTCTAATGTTCAGCACTAAAAAATGAGTGAATAAAGTGAGTATAGTCCTTGCTTATATAGTATAGGATCAATATCAGAACTGAAACAATTGCATGAAGAGATCCTTTATGATAAATAACCTGTTACCATTGTTTTTACAGAGTCCTAATCATTTCAGTCACTAAATTATATAACAAACACTTTTATTTGTGTTTTATTTGTGTTTTTGTTTCCTTTTCTGAAGGAGAGAAGAAGAATTTATGAAGCCAACCTTGAAAAAGCAGGCCTGGAGCTGGAGACAGAAGATAAATCGGTAAGAAGCCACTTTTAACTTTTCCTTCAAAATTATCCGCCCCCCAAGCTGCCAGTTGTGCTGAAGCAGATGGAAATCCAGATTCAAAATAGGAAACAAAAGGCTGGCAGATCTTTAAATATCTCTCATGCTACGCTCACACTGGACGCAGCAGGCGCAGCAAAATCGCGTCTGCTGCTTCATTTTTGCTGCTTGTACCAGTTTAGTTCTGACGCGCAGCTGAAGCAGCTTTGCTGCTCTGGCTGCGTGGTGCAAAAGTGTGTCTGATGCGCGTTGGGCGGAGCTACTCTATCCTTTCTTTGCCTTGCAGCTATATTGGCTGTGATCAGTGGGAATAAAGTAGTTTTAATGTGTTTTAAAGTGAGAAAATCCACCTGAAAACTTAATCATTGCAGTCAGTTCATCCTGATTACCATCCTGCCTTCCAATATTATTTCTGTCAAAGCCGCTCAGACCCCTACATACCAGCGGTGCGCTGTCAGTAGGAATCCCTTCAACAGCAGCCTCTGGCCGGGTTGCCTCCTCACGGTTCACTGCGGCGGCTGGTAGGTGTTTTTCTAGCATGACGTAGTCCTACTCAATTCTAGTCCGAATGAGTCTGATGCTGCTCCATAGAGCTGTGATTATGGGGCATGTTTCGAAAGAACCAGGAAAAAAAATGCCTCTGCACGCAATTGGATAGACCTACAACCAATAAGAGCAACGGAGTGCGTGTCGTATGTTAAGCGACGCATAGTGGTTGTCAACAAAAATCAAAGCGTGCAGTTGCACGCCTAGAATAAGAAGATGAGCCTTGATCGCGTTTCTCTGTTCCTCTTTTAAAATTAATTTGCTGTCGATATCTTCTAGAACAGACCTAATAGCAGAATCTACAAGCCTCAACTCTCCAGCGGCAGCCATTGTTGTTGTCACCCAAGCGCGCTTTGGTCATGTGGTTGATTACGTTACTGTTGGTCATCTGTCCATCATCGTATAAAGCCCGCCCTGACAATTTGATTGGCACGCCAGATATTGTGCGAGCATACTCGCGCTACTATTGAGCAATGCCAGACCGACTTTCCCAAACTTTAACGTTGTGGGCGGGACTAAGTTCGGAATGGCACCCAGGCTAGTGTTTTTCATCTAAATAATCCAAACTGCAGGCACCAGGATAATAAAAGCCAACATATTCCGCCGGCAGATTTCTGCATTTTAATTTAATTTATGTGTCAATAAACTGTTTCAGAGGAGCGATCACAGCGCTCTGTGTCATCAGCGATGAGTCTGACTCCCTGCCAGCTTCCAGATCAGCTTCTCTGATTGGTTGATGCGTCGGTCGAGCAGCAAAAGTTACATTTGTCCATGTCGAACAGCAGGGCGTTTGCGGCGCGTCAGATGCTTAAACGCGCCCGCTGCGCCTGCTGCTCAAAACGCGCCGCGGGACCTTTTGGTTCGCCTTGACGCGCGTCAACCATTGACTTTGCATGTAAACTCTGCTTCTACCACGCCTGCTGCGTCCGGTGTGAACGTAGCATTGATCTAAGATGTTCCAGTTTAAGATGTGCCATCACCTCCTCTACCCATCGTTTGTGAGTTAGCGCTGCTGCCTTTATCCAATAAATAAGAACAGTCTCCTGGCCAACGATGAAGAAAATACCATTGCTTTTAAAGAGAAATGAATAACAGATTAGGTCATTTGTTTAAATCTCTGTATGTCTACCCGGGCTGCCAGTGACTGTGCGACACTTTTGTTTCCCTCACCAGGAGTCTGAGGATGGTAAGACGTATTTTGTGAAGATCCACGCTCCATGGGAGGTACTGGCAACCTATGCAGATGTGCTGAAGATCAAGGTTCCATTCAAAGTTAGCGACATGCCAGACGATCGGGAAATGCCCATGAACTGGCTCTCCACGCCATTCCGCCTCCCTAAGCACATCATGCACCCTGAGCCAGATTATTTTACTGCTCCTTTTAGCAAGAGCAAGTCTGACTTCTTCCTTATCGACAACCAGGACACGTTCTTCCCTCCCTCCACTCGCAACAGGATAGTAAGCATAGCCGCCCTTATCTTGTTTTTGACCTTCAGTCCAAAAATCATTAAATATCTAACAATTTTTGGGCTTCAGTGCAGCAACATTTTAATGTTTGGATAAAAATGTTTCTCTCATCCTTCCAGGTCTACTATATTCTGTCTCGCTGCCTGTATTCCAACGAGGAATGTGGAGATAAGAAGGGAATTAAGAGGTTATTGAACAACGGCTCCTACACTTCAGCCTTCCCTCTTCATGATGTGAGCAACTCACTTTTTCACCTTAAAGGTGTCATAGAATGATTCTATAGGGTATCTGGTCCTTCAGGTCTCTAATAGGGTGATAGAATGATTCTATAGGGTATCTGGTCCTTCAGGTCTCTAATAGGGTGATAGAATGATTCTATAGGGTATCTGGTCCTTCAGGTCTCTAATAGGGCGATAGAATGGTTCTATAGGGTATCTGGTCCTTCAGGTCTCTAATAGGGTGATAGAATGATTCTATAGGGTATCTGGTCCTTCAGGTCTCTAATAGTGTGATAGAATGATTCTATAGGGTATCTGGTCCTTCAGGTCTCTAATAGGGTGATAGAATGATTCTATAGGGTATCTGGTCCTTCAGGTCTCTAATAGGGCGATAGAATGGTTCTATAGGGTATCTGGTCCTTCAGGTCTCTAATAGTGTGATAGAATGATTCTATAGGGTATCTGGTCCTTCAGGTCTCTAATAGGGTGATAGAATGATTCTATAGGGTATCTGGTCCTTCAGGTCTCTAATAGGGTGATAGAATGATTCTATAGGGTATCTGGTCCTTCAGGTCTCTAATAGGGCGATAGAATGATTCTATAGGGTATCTGGTCCTTCAGGTCTCTAATAGGGTGATAGAATGATTCTATCGGGTATCTGGTCCTTCAGGTCTCTAATAGGGCGATAGAATGATTCTATAGGGTATCTGGTCCTTCAGGTCTCTAATAGGGTGATAGAATGATTATATAGGGTATCTGGTCCTTCAGGTCTCTAATAGGGTGATAGAATGATTCTATAGGGTATCTGGTCCTTCAGGTCTCTAATAGGGTGATAGAATGATTCTATAGGGTACCTGGTCCTTCAGGTCTCTAATAGGGTGATAGAATGATTCTATAGGGTATCTGGTCCTTCAGGTCTCTAATAGGGTGATAGAATGATTCTATAGGGTATCTGGTCCTTCAGGTCTCTAATAGGGTGATAGAATGATTCTACAGGGTATCTGGTCCTTCAGGTCTCTAATAGGGCGATAGAATGATTCTATAGGGTATCTGGTCCTTCAGGTCTCTAATAGGGCGATAGAATGATTCTATAGGGTATCTGGTCCTTCAGGTCTCTAATAGGGTGATAGAATGATTCTATAGGGTATCTGGTCCTTCAGGTCTCTAATAGGGTGATAGAATGATTCTATAGGGTATCTGGTCCTTCAGGTCTCTAATAGGGTGATAGAATGATTCTATAGGGTATCTGGTCCTTCAGGTCTCTAATAGTGTGATAGAATGATTCTATAGGGTATCTGGTCCTTCAGGTCTCTAATAGTGTGATAGAATGATTCTATAGGGTATCTGGTCCTTCAGGTCTCTAATAGGGTGATAGAATGATTCTATAGGGTATCTGGTCCTTCAGGTCTCTAATAGGGCGATAGAATGGTTCTATAGGGTATCTGGTCCTTCAGGTCTCTAATAGTGTGATAGAATGATTCTATAGGGTATCTGGTCCTTCAGGTCTCTAATAGGGTGATAGAATGATTCTATAGGGTATCTGGTCCTTCAGGTCTCTAATAGGGTGATAGAATGATTCTATAGGGTATCTGGTCCTTCAGGTCTCTAATAGGGTGATAGAATGATTCTATAGGGTATCTGGTCCTTCAGGTCTCTAATAGGGCGATAGAATGATTCTATAGGGTATCTGGTCCTTCAGGTCTCTAATAGGGTGATAGAATGATTCTATCGGGTATCTGGTCCTTCAGGTCTCTAATAGGGCGATAGAATGATTCTATAGGGTATCTGGTCCTTCAGGTCTCTAATAGGGTGATAGAATGATTCTATAGGGTATCTGGTCCTTCAGGTCTCTAATAGGGCGATAGAATGATTCTATAGGGTATCTGGTCCTTCAGGTCTCTAATAGGGTGATAGAATGATTCTATCGGGTATCTGGTCCTTCAGGTCTCTAATAGGGCGATAGAATGATTCTATAGGGTATCTGGTCCTTCAGGTCTCTAATAGGGCGATAGAATGATTCTATAGGGTATCTGGTCCTTCAGGTCTCTAATAGGGTGATAGAATGATTCTATAGGGTATCTGGTCCTTCAGGTCTCTAATAGGGTGATAGAATGATTCTATAGGGTATCTGGTCCTTCAGGTCTCTAATAGGGTGATAGAATGATTCTATAGGGTATCTGGTCCTTCAGGTCTCTAATAGGGTGATAGAATGATTCTATAGGGTATCTGGTCCTTCAAGTCTCTAATAGGGCGATAGAATGATTCTATAGGGTATCTGGTCCTTCAGGTCTCTAATAGGGTGATAGAATGATTCTATAGGGTATCTGGTCCTTCAGGTCTCTAATAGGGCGATAGAATGATTCTATAGGGTATCTGGTCCTTCAGGTCTCTAATAGGGTGATAGAATGATTCTATCGGGTATCTGGTCCTTCAGGTCTCTAATAGGGCGATAGAATGATTCTATAGGGTATCTGGTCCTTCAGGTCTCTAATAGGGCGATAGAATGATTCTATAGGGTATCTGGTCCTTCAGGTCTCTAATAGGGTGATAGAATGATTCTATAGGGTATCTGGTCCTTCAGGTCTCTAATAGGGTGATAGAATGATTCTATAGGGTATCTGGTCCTTCAGGTCTCTAATAGGGTGATAGAATGATTCTATAGGGTATCTGGTCCTTCAAGTCTCTAATAGGGCGATAGAATGATTCTATAGGGTATCCGGTCCTTCAGGTCTCTAATAGGGTGTGTAACATTGGTTGGGCTGAAAATGGCATTTCAGCTGTTCTATGAGCCCTAATGCAGCCTGGTTAAAAGCCCTAGAATGAAACCACAGGTTTTCTTCCTTTTATGGTTTGATCATGAATATTTAGATGAGCTGTGCTCTGATTGGTTGGTTTACAACGAGCCAAGCTGCTGAGCAAAGACGCATCATAGCAACAAGCACTCACTCACTGAAACATCAGATTGTTGATATGGTAGGGGGACCAGACGTCCTCTTTTTCCCGGACATGTCCTACTTTTTGGACCTAATAAAATAGTCAGATGGGAATTTCAAAATCATCCAGGATGTTGGTCGACTACAGTGCAGCACGGAGTGGAAACACGCCGGGCACTCGGACCGAGCCGTTAGCTCCAGGGCTGGTCCGGGACCCCCCGGCGGATGGGGGCAGGGAGTCGACACGGCGTGAAGGACCGCTGGCTCTGATGGCGATTTTTGACTCAGCTTTGGAATCAGTTCTGGAAGGATCAGGCTTTGGGTTTTTTGTTGAAACGTGAGCAGGAAGAGGCTCTACGCTCATTCATTTTAAGAAGGACGTATTCGGCGTTTTACCGACAGGCTGTTTGTTTACACTCCCCCAACAGCTTCCTGTCGCGCTTCCTAACGTCACAGTCAGTGGCTCTCATTGGTCAGAGCGTTGGCCAATAGGCACAGACATGGTTTGAAAAAAAAAAACGGGTTGTTCTCATCAACAATCTTCCGATGTCTCATTCATCAAGGCCAAACTAAATTACATGCTGTTAGGTTTATTCAATGATGATTATAATAGGGATGCACGATATAATGGGCCCCCTATCGGTATCGGCCTTAAAACTGAATATCGGACATCGGCCACCCCACCGATATTTAACCCGATATTTGATCAGCTTCTGAGTTTCTAAAGTCTGAAAAAAAAAATAAAAAATACTACTTCTTCTTCTTCCTCAAAAACTTCTTTTTTACAGACTTAAAAACTTCTAAAGACGAGGGAAAAAATATTGATCCATTAAAACAGGGGCGGATCTAGAAAAATATTTATGGGGTGGCAAGAGGGGGGCAGGAATTTTTTAGGGGTGGCAACATATGGCATTTGTTTACACAGAATTTAATCACAGTTATCACAGTTTGGTGAGAATAGTATGTACAGTACTAGTGTTTCATGTGAAACAGTTCATATTAATAATACATCGTAGAATGTGATCTCACTTAATAGGAGATAGAAGAATGATAACACTACTTCTAGAGGGGCCTTAAGACAGGAAAGGTATTAAGGTAAAACACAGGTGCTGAGTCACAGATGTGTGAGATTGACTGTCAGAGAGGCAGCTTTGCAGCATTTACACAAGAAGAAACGATAGAAAGAAAAAGTTACCTATCAGAGATCTATGGACAGAGCTGTACTAAAGTGAGCAGAACTACACAGTAGAAATAAATGGGTCAAGGCACCCGAACAAGGTACTGGATATCTATGTAATGTTTACTCTGAACACACATTTACCCCATTTGTTCCTCAGTAACTTGACATACAGCAGTTAAGGCAACATGAAAGGGACATTTCATGCATGTAAATATGCTGTAGATAGAGCTGTATATGGAGGACCAACTCTGCCATATTTAAAAATAAATACAGAAATAAATAAATGCTCAATAAATAAATAAGCATACAATTAATTGCCACCAAAAATACAATCAACAAATAAATGTAATTAGAAATTATATTATAATGGCAGGCAGAAATGTTAAAAGGGCAGGCAGAAAGAAATAGCGGCGAAGAAATAACTAGGGTAAAAAAATACAAAGGAAGAATAAAACAGACAAAAATATGATAACATGCACATAAATAAATACTTAAAAATATAAGTAATTAAAAAATGAAGTTGAAGATAATAAATGACAAAAAATAAATAAGGTAAATATTAAAAAGGCAAAGAAATAAAGAAGCCAATTAAAAGAGTTATATACCTTTATGACTAGCTGTATAATTTAATTTCTACTTACATTTATGTGTTGTTTGTATTTTTGGTGGCAATTAATTGTATGCTTATTTATTTATTAAGCATTTATTTATTTCTGTATTTATTTTTAAATATGGCAGAGTTGGTCCTCCATACTGCTGTATCAACAAATCAACAAAAAGGCGGGTTCTGTATGTTACATCAAAATCTCCACAAATCTGAAAAGAAGCAACATAAAAACACATTTTGCTTGTGAGTAGGTTCATACGGGTCATTTCTGGATAGTTTCATATTATATATATATAAAAAAAAGAAACAACAACACTGCTTCATAGTAAGCAGGATTTACACCAGTATCACATTTTAACTTTTAACACTTTTGGTTTTATTAAAGGAAATATCAGATTTTCTCAGGTGCCAAAACAAAATGTAACACCTCTGTAAAGGCTCACCAGAGAGCATAACATAAAGTTAACATGACTATAACAGCTGAATGCAGTGATTTTCATACTGCTCAGCAAAACGCTTCACAACTTTATTTAGATCCAATCCCTTTGTGCGTTTTGATTTGAGTACAACCAAACTTGATCGTCTCTTTTCTGTCATAGTTGACCGCAAATATGTCTTTCTGAGCCTGAGACGTCAGGCCTAACTAACATCATAGATAGAGAAATAACGTTCTGCAACCTGATTTTTATCATCTCAAAATCAGCATTGCAGCTATGCTAGCAACATTGTGCTTTCATTATGATATCATTTCTCGATAGATAGTTAATCAGTTTTTACCTGTTTCATCCTATGTCTCCTCTCCCCATGACCCCTGGCTCCCTCGCTTTGCCCCATTCGGTTTTCAAAACAATCAGTCTCAGTCGCTCTCGCGTCATCTCGTGCTGCATTCACTGCAGTCCGACATTAGAAATTAGCGGTCATAATTCTCAAATGATCCATGATTTATAAGCCTCGCCACCCCTACCGCCAACTAGGGTGGCAGCTGGGGTGGCAAGGCTGTCATTTAGGGGGGCATTTGCCACCCTATGCCACCCCAGTAGATCCGCCTATGCATTAAAATATCCCAATATCTTCATATGCTGATATATTGCCATTTAAAAACACCATATCAATCTCTTTTACTAATGAAATATTGCTATATGTCATCGTTATGCTACGAAATCCCCCGAAAATTCACCAAATGTTGCCATATTTTTATATGTTGATATATTGATGCGGTATCGATCTATTTTACCAACAAAATCTCACAAGAATTTGCAAAATATCACGAGAGTTTGTAACAGAACGATGAAATTTCACGAGATTTTGAAAGTAAAATAGATCGATACCGGGTTTTTAAAAATCAATTTGATATCAGCATATGAAAATATATTTGAGTATATTATTTTTCAAAGTGTCAGAAATGGATAACAAAACTGCTATTTTCAATGACTACTTATTTTTGTCCAGCTTTAACATCGATATCGGTAATCGGCTACATGAGTTTTAAAATATCGGATATCAGCCAAAATCCCAATATCGTGCATCCCTAGATTATAAAGTTGCGGCTCTCTCCTCCTGCAGGAGCTGTTGAAAACCTCTTTTCTGTGTGGACTTAGTTCATCTTTTACTAACCTACATTTTTTAACCTAACAGACACTTAATCTCACATTTAGTCTGGTTTATCAGGCTGTCGTTATTCATCTATGACTATGGAAACTAGGTTTTGCATTCTATGACCCCTTTAAGAAAAAGCATGTAGCTGTGCATTTTACAATGACTTTGATGTGAAAAAAAAAAAAATCCTAATAAACGGCCTCCTTTATGCCTGCAGTCCAGATACTGGATCAGATCCAAAGATGCCAACTGTGAGAGTGAGCGATATGATCTGTACAATCACTGGGCGAGCTTCCTCTGCTTTTTCAAGGAGCAGCCGATTCACCGTGTCAGGTAAAACCCTGAAAGCTAGCACGGACACTCATCAGGCCATTCCAGCCTTAAAATATAACTGTTGCTCTTTTCTATTTGATTTCTTCGAAGGAAATATTATGGTGAGAAGATTGGCATTTACTTCGCTTGGCTTGGTTTCTACACGGAGATGCTGCTGTTTGCTGCCGTCGTAGGAACAATTTGTTTCACTTACGGGTTCCTCACCTATGATGACAACGAGTGGAGGTAAGGTCCGCTGATTAGGGCCGCTGGATTAAAAATAGATTAAGATTTACTACTTTATTGTCATATACACTTCAGTGCAACCAGGGTCTGTAACACACAGACATCATCAGTTCTCAGGTGAATATCTTCGCTGTTAATTAAACTTTCAATAAAACCTCTTTCAGCGTAGATTTAGTCAGCTGGCAGGAACCTGAGTCACTGTGTTTATGTCACAGGTGACTCTATTGGCTCCAAAATCCTTTTACGTCAAATCATTCTGGTTTTAACATGTATATAAATGTTCTCTTTATCAGACCATATTGTCCCAAAATTTACAAATTGTCTGTAAAAAAAAAAAATCCCATCTTAAAATCTGTTTTTGTTTCCGTTATCTTCTGCAGGCCAGTTAGTTCTACGTCAGCCTGAACAACTAAATTCGACCATTCATATATAACGGTCATCTGTCAGTTAAATGTTTTCGGTCATAGCATCTTGATTCATATGTCGCAGCTAATATACGCAACGGTTGAAACCAGAATCCTTTCCTTTCCCATTGAGTTGCGTCCCAGTGTTCACGGGGATGGACGTCTGTGTCTTCGGCAGGCGTAGAGCTAACAGAACTGGCAGCGTTGCGAGGCAAGGGCTCAAACATGTACGGCTGGAAGCCTTCTACACCAAACCAAGCTTCTGCCGCCCTGGCGTCCTCTTCCACAACATCTTCGTCCCCGCTTTCCTCCTCTAAATAAAAAATGGATGACGGAGGAGACTCATCCACGACCTCCGACACTAAACTCTCCTCCTCTTGCATGTTTCTGCTGTCCATAGCGTTCCTTGACAGCGTCGTTTCTAAGTCACCAATTTAATGCTACTTGGTCCCAATGGAATTTCCCATTGGGAACCTGCTAGCACTAAGATGCTAACTGGTTAGCAAAACGCTTCCAAGAAACTGGCCACAATCAAATTTGCTTGCAAACAATGGCGTAAATATTGGTAAGCAGAGACAGCAGTTGCTTACTTGCCCACGACCTCTTAGGGGGCCCATCACTGACACCTTGGGGGCCCCTACGCAATTGTAGACAAGGACGTCTCTTTGCAGATGTAATGGTAAGAAAAATTCCTCTTAAACCCACCTGATGCTGAAGTGGCCGACCGCACTGGACCGTATTTATACCGCAACACATCCCAGATTTTAACATGTTGGTGAGCCGTTTAAAACACGACACCAACAGCAAAGCTGTTTTTAAATTTCTATATTAATAACTGTGTATAGTTCATTAGACGGTTGGTAAAAAATACACCCATATAATATGTTTCAAACTGCAATAAAGATCTTAAAAGAACAATGTATTTGAGTATTTATTTTTTACACTACGACTTGGAATTATGGGTAATCCAGAGCGTAGATTAAAACCATAACCATTACGTACAATGTGTTAGCGATGATGGATACCAAAAAGAGGTACTCTCCGATTCCAGGAAAGAAAAAAGCAAAGAAGAGCTGCTGGAAGAACTGGGAGAATTCGGAAATGCAACGGTTGGAACAGCCGCTTCGCTACGACTTTAAACGTTAATGAACAGTTCACCATTACATAAAGAACACAGGATCAAAATAACACTCTAAAATACTATGGTTACTTTAAACTGCACGAATAGATATGACCATACTCTTACTCTGAGCTACAGGCAGGTTGCCATGGTTACAGGTGTCCAGATGTTCAGGTGCGCTCTGAGGTCATGGAGATGAAGTCTCTCAT